TATCCTACTACTTTTACTACATATTCCCTTTACCAGAGATAATTTACTTTTGTATGTTTCCTTTGTTATTAATTAGTGCCATTATTTTTTAGCTTAAAGAAGTCCCTTTAACATTTCTTGTAAGGCTGGTTTTGTGGTGATTAACTTCTTTAGCATTTGCTTGTCTGGAAAACTCTAACTCTCCTTCAATTCTGAATGGTAACTTTTCTGGGTAGAGTATTCTTGGCGGAAGTTTTCTCCTTTCAGCACTTTGTAATGTCTCTCCCTTCTGGCCTTCAAACCTTCTGCTGAGCTCTGGCCCAGTCACTCAGTTGATGGGAATGTCATCCTGTACACCAAAAAGGCTGCAGGTTTGATTCCAGGTCAGGGCACATACCTAGGATTCGGGTTCCATCCCTGGTCAGGGGGTGTACGGGAGGCAACTGATCGATGTTCCTCTCTCACATCAGAGTTTCTCTCTCTCCTGCTTCCTCTCTCTCTAAAATCAATAAAACATATCCTTGGGTGAGGATTAAAAATTTTTTTTCTGCTGAAAAATTTTCTGATAGCATTATGGGATTTCCTTTGCACGTAACAAGTTGTTTTTCTCTTTCTGCTCTCACGATTCTCTATCTTTAACTTACATTGTGTCTTGGTGTGGCTATTCAAGATTCTTCTACGTGTTAGGTGCAATAGCTACCTCTCTGTCTTGAAGAAGTGGCCTTGTGTAGGTGACGAAACTTTTCAACCTTTCCCTAGCTCTTGCTTATCTCTCAAACTTTTGTGATTGTCTAAACAGCTTGGTTTATTCTTATTAGTCCCCCCCGTGGGGGATGTGCCAAGACTTGTCAGTACTCCAAGGTGAGGATCCTCACTTGGCACTTAGTTTCAGGCTGATTGGAAGCTAGCCCTCAGGCAGCAGAGTTTTTTGTTTCTTTGTTGTGGTTTTTAAAAATATTTTTATTGATTTCAGAGAGGAAGGGAGAGGGAGAAAGAGAGAAACATCAATGATAAGAGAGAATCACTGATCGGCTGCCTCCTGCACGCCCCCTGCTGGGGATCGAGCCCGCAAACTGGGCATGTGCCCTGGACCAGAATCGAACCTGGGACCCTTCAGTCCGCAGGCCGACGCTCTGTACAGTGAGCCAAACCGGCGAGGGCGAAGCAGCAGTTTTTAAAGTTGAAAATAAACACACTTCTGTGTGGCTTCAATAAAAAACCCTGATAGTCCCCAAGCCAGGAGATCTGGAGGTGTCCCCTGGCTGACAGTTGCTAAACTCGGGGCTCCAGGTGAGTTTATAAGCTCCTTTCGGGAGGCATCATCAAGCAGTAGCGAGGCCAAGGGGTGTGCAGTACGGGGTCTCCTGCTTATGCCCCTGGGAGCACCTCTGCAGCCTCGAGGTGTGTGGGAACAAAGCTTATTCTTGGGCTGACACTACAGGTAAGTCAATAGGCCCTTTTCACAGGAAGATGGGGGGCGGGGGGAGTGTGTCAGCCTGCTGATTGGTAGGCGGCCAAGAACTGTCTCCCTGCGCATCGCTGTCCTGTGGAGCCCAGGAGCACCAGCCCCATTGGCCACCAGGCAGGTGACCAAGGGGCATCTCCTGCATGAATTGCACGTGCCCACTGGTTTTCGCAAAGCGGTGAGAGAGTGTAGGGGGTGGGGTGGGCTTACAATCGTCAGAAAGACAGCAGGAGCCTGCCTTGGCTTCATACACCCTCGTGCTTGGGTGACGCAGCTGGAGAGTGTCTCGTCTGGTGCATGCCAGCTTCAGGGAGGGGGCCATAGCCTGCCGTGATCACTCCTGCTCACGGGTGCCAGCCAGTGGGCGAGGGAGCGCCACAGCAGCCCAAGGCAATGGAGGTGCCTGTGCCAGTTCACCAGCCTGTGTTAGCAGGGCAGGCGGAGAGGACAGCCACGGCGCCCACAGCACCTTGGCCTCTGAAGAGACTTCCAGCTGTCCCCTGGCCCTGCGCAGATGCTTTAAGATTAGCAAACGAGCCTCCTGCAAGTATAGCCTGAGTGCGTCTCAAACTTCTGCTTTGTGCTGGGTCCTGGGGCGAGCAAGGCCACAGGCAAGCCCCCTACAGGGAGAATCTCAGCTAGCTCCCTCTAACGCTGTGGCCCCATTGGTTTTCTAAGCCAGGTGTTTTGGGGCTTGTCGCTTTGGTGCGGATCCCAAGGGCTGAGCCTGATAGAGGCCCGGCACTGGTGAGACCCCGCCCTCCCGTGAGTCCTCGCCAGGGGTGGGGTGTTTTAGGCAACAGCATGTCTCTGCCTCTCCTTCCCATCGCAATGTGGTCCTTCTCTCTGTTGTAAAGGAGGAGCAGTTCATCCACTTCCCAGGTCTTTTCAGAGGGAAGTGATCCCTGCACAGCTGTAGACTTGCTGTCCTTGGGAGGACGTGAGCTCAGGGTCTTCCTATGGCATCATTTGGACTCTCTGTTTCTTGCTTTTTTTTCCTCTCTCAAACAGAGCACTTAGGATCTGGCCAGGTGGCTCGGCTGGAGCATTGCCCTGTACACCAAAAGGTTGGGGTTCAATTCCTGGTCAGGGCACATACAGGAAGCAACCGGTAGACATTGATGTTTCTCTCTCTCTCTCTCTCTCTCTCTCTCTCTCTCTCTCTCTCTCTCCCCCTTCCTTTTGCTCTAAAATCAATAAGCATTTCCTTGGGTGAGGAAATAAATAAATCTACACTAATAAAAGACAAAGATGCTAATTGACAGTACCCTTGCTATGCTCATCAGCCAATCTGAAGAGTATGCAAATTAACCCAACAAAGATGGCCGTTAAATTTGCATACTGCAGGCAGATCCCGCTGCACCGCCCTGTGCTGGCAGCAGTGCAATCCCCGGCCTGGGGTGGGGGCGGGGGGCAGCACGATCCCAAGCCACCACCCACCCCAGAGCGGGATCCAGGCCTGCCGTGTGCGACCAGGGGAGATGGGGAAGGCACTGCAGGATCGGGCGTACCATCTGCCACCAGGGGAATGGGCCTAAGCCAGCAGGTGGTTATCTCCCGAGGGGTCCTAGACTGTGAAAGGGCACAGGTTGGGCTGAGAGACCCCCCCGCCGCCCCCCCGCTGCCAGCGCACAAATTTTTGTGCACCAGGCTTCTAGTAAGTAAATTAAAAGCTTTGGCACATAGGAGATAAGTGGAGACCACAAGTGGTTTGTGGAACACACTTTGAGAAACAGCACTCTAAAGCCGGATTCCAGTGAAGTCTCGCCTAAAGCCCACCATGAGGCTATTGTATGATAACTGGCCCTTCTGGAGACTCCAAAGCTTCCAGATACAAAAGGAGTTTGGACCCGAAGACGGTGGATGAGGGTATCGTTGGGTGGAGGGAAAGGGCCACTTTCTAGCATTCCCTCAGGTCACATGATCAACTGCTTCCCCTTCTTTTTTTCCAATTAAAAGATCCTCAGGCCTGAGCACCCTTGTGGTGGCAGCAACAGTGGGATCTCTCCTGGGCAGGGATGTGTTGGCTCCCAGCTCAGCGCCAGGCACCACTTTGAGCTTCATGCCGAGATGAGTGGCACAATAATAACCTTATCAGAGGCAGCAGGTCCCTGATATAGGACTTCAGGGTCTCCCCGATCACTAGCCACATGCAAACAGTGTCAACACCTCTCAGGATTTGTACAGCATCTGCATATTGGTTCCCTCCAGAGGGAAGAGTAGCCACGAAGGGCTGCGCCTTCTCCTTGCCACCCCTCCCCCTCAGCCCTATCCGTTTCCCATCAGTGACATCCCTGCGAATGGAGTGAGCAGATGAAGAGGTCAGGCTACCTTCAATAAGGGACATTTATAACACTGACCTGTTTAACTGTCTGGTCCTGGCCCCAGGCCTCAGGGCTGGCTGGCGTCTACCATGATGAGGGGACAGCATGAGCGTCATTTCCAGGACTCACATCCATAAAAGGCTTTGACATGTTTCCCAATAAAGGCACATACATCTTTTTGTGCAAAGTGTTAATTTGTTAATGCAAATATTTAAAACTGGAGGCCCAGTGCAGGAATTCCTGCACCAGCAGGGTCCCTTGGTCTGGCCTGTGGGATCAGGCCAAAACTGGCTCTCTGACATCCCCTGAGGGTTCCTGGATTGTGAGAGGGCGCAGGCCAAGCCAAGGGACCCCATCGGGGCCAGGGAGGGACACAGGAGGTTGGCCAGCTGGGGAGGGACCACGGGAGGGCTCTAGGGCATGTCTGGCCCATCTCACTCAGTTCCAATCGGCCAGACCCCAGCAGAAAGCTCACCTACCGGTTGGAGCGCATTCCCCCTGGTGGTCAGTGCACGTCATAGCAAGCAGTTGAGCGGCCTTAGCATATCATTAGCACATTATGCTTTGATTGGTTGAATGGCCGACTGAACACTTAGCATATTAGGCTTTTATTATATGGGATGTGCAATTTTTATAATTACTAGTATGTTCTGGCATTTATTCATGTGCTATCTTTAGAGCCTCAAAGAGACCCTGAAGCTGGGTGAGCCAAAGTGGCACTGGGGACACCGCCCCTCCTGGGGTAGGGGCACCCTTCCCTCGTGGCCAGCAGTGCCGACCAACGCTAGCAGCCAAGTTTACAAATTCTAATGGAAGGCATTTCATTCCCAACTTTGTTCGGGAAATCTAGACTGAGATTCCCAAGACAAAACCGAGACCAATACTGCCAGCACTTTGCTAGATGAGGGTGACAGAGCAGCACAGACCCTCATGCTGTGTGCTCCCGAAGCCGAAGCCCGTCTCTGGAAAGGGAGCTGGCTCCCGACATTCAGCTGAGTAGTTTAGCTGCTATCCTGTGATTAAGGGGGAGCCACTGAAGATGCATGAGGACCAGTGACTTGTTTAAGACCAGATCTTAGGTGGTTGCCAGAGGGAAGGAGGTAGAGTTGAGGGGTGAAGGGGGCCTAATATATATGGTGGCAGAAGATGATTTGACATTGAATGGTAGGCATACCATGCAATATACAGATCTTGTATCACAGAACTGTACACTTGAAACCTACATGATCCTATTAACCAATGTCAGCACAATAAATTTCTTTATTTTTTTAATCACAAAAAACAGTACTGCATTTTAGCGAGATCACTGGTGGCTAGTGGAGGAAGGGAGAATGGAGCTGGGGACTATGGTCCATGTATTTCCAGGTAGAAATTTCAGGCCAAGTGCTCTGGGGGGCAGGGCAGGGATCCTGCCTGGTGTTTCCATCTGGAGCTTTGACAAGACAAATGGCCCTTCCCAGGCAGGACGCTTTGTGCAAATAAACTTCATCCTCCAAAGAGAGAAAGCAGCCCGGTGCCAGCCTCCCTCCTGTGGGACATTTGTTCCCCCTCAAGCCTGGCGGGCGTGAGTAAAAGGGCCAGGAAGCCTCTCAGGACAGAGCAAGTCCAAAGAGAACAGGAGGGAGTTTCTCATTGGCCACCTTGGGGGCCCGGTGGCCCATTTTCTGGGGCAGCTTGTTCATTTGCTTCCGCCATCATCTCTTTGTACTGACGTTTAAAGAAGCCAACCTGCAGGGAAGGAAGGAGAGGAAGGGAGTCGGTGGAAGAGGGGGAAGGAGGTGATGGGGAAGGGGAGGGACCGCCACTCAGGAGCCCCTATGATATTCAAGCAGTGCAGTGGCAACACTGACAGTTAGACTGGCCCACAGTTCTGTGAGCTGGTAATTACCTTTAGAATGTGAAACAAGACCCAGCATGGACCAGGCACTTGCCTAATCACAGAGAGAATCCATGGTGGTATCCACATCAAACCCAGGGCAGTGCTTTTTATGTTATAACTAGAGGCCCGGTGCATGGATTCATGCACCAGTGGGATCCCTCAGCATGGCCTGCAGGGATGGGGCCAAAACCAGCAGTCCAACTCCGCCTGCCACTCCTGCCTGCAGCTCCCACTCATCCTGGCCCCACTGTGCATGCCACGGGCTCACACCACCGTGGGCCTTACGTCTGAGCGGTGCTCCCGCTGTGGGAGCGCACTGACCAACAGAGGGCAGCTCCCGCATTGAGCGTCTGCCCCCTGGTGGTCAGTGTGCGTCATAGCGACCGGTTGTTTGGTTGCTTAGGCTTTTATATATATAGATTTGCTGTCAAGAAAAATATGTAGAAAGGCAGAGGTGAGTGGGAAAGAAAGGGAAAGAGACTAAAGGAAGCCTGAGAACAGATAGGAACACATGAGGGACATCTGGGGACTGCTGATGTCAGAGGTGGAAGAGGCTCTCTCCCATGCAGTGACTGAGCGAGAACGTGCACTGACTCCAAGGGGAGCGCTGTCTTATGCTGTGAACAGTGGAACATGTGCTGGGGGGTCAGGAGGCGAGCACGCACCTTGTACAGTATGGCTGTGATGAGAGCCAGCAGCAGCAGTCCTCCCACGGAGCTGCCCACAATGAGGGGCACGGGGTTGTGGACCTCCTGCTTCTCCAGCACCACCTCCATCTGGAAGGAGGTGACCTCATCAGAAAGCATCGGTCCTCTGGCGGCCTCGGCTCCTCCCGGCCTCTCCAACCTTTAACCTCCTCCCCGGCCTCCCCAGGCCAGACTCCATGGGCTGAGCCACAGAAGCCCTCAGGGGCTTAGGGACAACTGTCCCCCCCAGGGATCTTCACCCCCTCCCTCCAGCTTTGTGAGCCCCCACACGGCACACGGATTTAGCGTCAGAAGCCGCTCGCCAACCTGGCTGCTGCCAGCACACAGTCACTACCTGGGCTCTCAGAAACGCCTCCTGGCCCGGGAGCTGGGCATACACAGATCTGTCGAACGTGATTCCCGCCATACTCACGACCGATACCTTCTTCTGCAGAGTCTGCAAAAGGGCAGGAGGGCTGGCAGCTAGCTCTGGGGAAAGCTCCGCGTCAGGGAAATGCCCTGGCTCTCCACTGAGGCCGGGCACAGACATTCAGGGCCCACCGGAGGCGGAGGCTGGGGGCAGGGCTCTGCCGCTGGGCCCACCCACCTGTCTGACCCAGCCGAAGCTGAGGTTGCCCTTCAGGGTGAAGTCCAGTTCCTCCTGGGTGCCAAAGGAGGGCACGTCACAGCGGAACCTCCGGCAGGCAGCAGCGGAGCAGTCCTAGGGGCAGAGAAGTAGATCAGCCCAGTGTGTGTGTGTGTGTGTGTGTGTGTGTGTGTGTGTGTGTGTGTGAAGGCAGCAGACAGCATTAACGTGTCTGATTTAAAGGAGCATCCACATCTGAATTCAGGAATGCCGCGCAGCAGACATCCCTCTGAACGTCGCACGGACTCCTGAGCTCCGTGCCTCTGAGGTGTGGCTTAAGTGGGGGGCAGCCAGTCCTCCTCACCAGCACGGGATTCCTCTGAATGTGGGCCCGGGGGTCGGCCTCTGTGGGCACTATTCTCTCTGAAGAGCAGTTCATAGATGGGCTCTAGGAAGACAGAGAGCAGGCGTCTCAGAGGGGACATCAGAGAATGGGAGGGACACGGGAAACCAGGCAAAGGGCATTGGTGGGGGAGCCACACACAGTCCTCGGGTACCTGGGGGTGGAGGAGCTCCAGCTCTGTCCACACCGCCGCCTGGTTCAGCTCCACAGGCACCAAGAAGTAGATGCTGACAGGCAGGTCCCTCTGCCCCAGGTTGCTCACCTGCACGGAGGGCAGCGAGAGCAAAGCATGCCAAGGCCACGTCCCTCCCTGCTCCCTGGCTCCTGGGCCGCAGCCCCTGCTCTTGAGCCGCCCTCACTCACCTGGTATCTGAGCTGGGCCACGCTGCTCCCCTCCTCCTCTGAGGCCGAGAAGTTGAGGTACTTGGTGGATTCTTCGTGGCTGGGGAGAGAAGAGGCATGTGGGGGTTGAAGTTCCCCGGGGGCCTCCTGAGCAGCTCACTGGGGCCCTGGTTGTCCCGGATGAGGTGTGTGGCTGACCTGAGGAATGGGGAGATTAGGGAGCGGGCCTGGGCTCCTGGCTGGCTGCCCGCAGAAGCTGCCCACAGAGGAAACTGCCCAGGTGGGGCCGGGCAGGGGTGTAGTGAAGGGACAGAGGCAATCTGCAGAGGTCACACCTGGCTGCCTGCCTGTGGGTGCCCCGTGAGGTGTGCCAGCCCCAGTGCACGCTCCTGCCGACAAGCTCGGACCCCGCACCCGCTGGCTGCCCAGAGCCTGGCGTGAGGTGCGGGGGAGAGTGTGGAGCTCTGGGCAGGAGGAGGGCAGCCGACGAGGCACGCGGGTGGACGTTTCGGGGCAGCGTGCCCAGGCTACGTCCCACGGCCTGTTCCATATCACAAGTGCATACATCCCATGGGGCAGGGGTCTATGTCTGGTGATCATTACACATAGTAGAGGCTCAATAAATCTTTGTTGAAATCAAATGAATGAATTTATGGAAAGCACCCACATCACTGTGCCTGAAATACAGCAAATGCTAGGGAGGTGTCTGCTCACAACCTCCTAGTTTCAAACACCTCATCCACCTCTCCTCGGGCGGCACCTACCCCTCATCATCCACCCCTCCTTGGGCGGCTCCTATCCCTCATCATCCACCTCTCCTTGGGCGGCGCCTACCCCTCATCATCCACCCCTTCTTGGGCGACATCTGTAGCTTTTCCCTGACCGCCCCCCACCTCCCTGGGAGCAGGCAGGGTGTTTGTCCCTACCCTTCCCAAGGGGAAGGGAGGAGGAGTGGTTCTAACAGCCCTTCAAGGTGTAAATCTGTTCCTTGCGATGAGAACTGTCCCACCCAAATGCCAAGGGCCACGGCCAATGCCACAGGCCCCTGCAATGTTGAGCTGAGGCCTCCCCTGACAGGAGCCCCTACCCCCTCCTAGAAGCTCACAAAGCCTCAGGCCCCGGGACCACAGAGAGGCCCTTGGTAAGACTCTGCTTTAGGTCAGGGTAGCCTCGCTCCCAGTCAGGCCGCGAGAACCTGGAAGACAGCGATGTCTCTCACATCTCTTACGGAATCCAGGGCAATCTTGGGGCTTTGGAGAAAGCCTCTGAGAACTATAACCGCTATTAAATGCAGCGTGTAAGTAACGGTAACACCACACTTACTGTTGTCAGAGCCAGCCCACCATAAACACGCAGGATTGAGGAGCAAGTGCTACCAGCAGTTGCCAGCTAAGGACTGGAAGGGTAGTGGGAGAGGGTAGTGGGAGAGGGTAGTGGGAGAAGGGTAGTGGGAGAGGGTGGTGGGAGAAGGGTAGTGGGAGAGGGTAGTGGGAGAAGGGTAGTGGGAGAGGGTAGTGGGAGAAGGTAGTGGGAGAAGGGTAGTGGGAGAGGGTGGTGGGAGAAGGGTAGTGGGAGAGGGTAGTGGGAGAAGGGTAGTGGGAGAGGGTGGTGGAGAAGGGTAGTGGGAGAGGGTAGTGGGAGAAGGGTAGTGGGAGAGGGTGGTGGGAGAAGGGTAGTGGGAGAGGGTAGTGGGAGAAGGGTAGTGGGAGAGGGTGGTGGAGAAGGGTAGTGGGAGAGGGTAGTGGGAGAAGGGTAGTGGGAGAGGGTGGTGGGAGAAGGGTAGTGGGAGAGGGTAGTGGGAGAAGGGTAGTGGGAGAGGGTAGTGGGAGAGGGTGGTGGGAGAAGGGTAGTGGGAGAGGGTAGTGGGAGAAGGGTAGTGGGAGAGGGTGGTGGGGAGAAGGGTAGTGGGAGAGGGTAGTGGGGAGAAGGGTAGTGGGAGAGGGTGGTGGGAGAATGGTGGTGGGAGAGGGTAGTGGGAGAGGGTAGTGGGAGAGGGTCGTGGGAGAATGGTGGTGGGAGAGGGTAGTGGGACGGGTAGTGGGAGAGGGTTGTGGGAGAGGGTAGTGGGAGAGGGTGGTGGGAGAGGGTGGTGGGAGAGGGTAGTGGGAGAGGGTAGTGGGAGCAGGGTGGTGGGAGAGGGTAGTGGGAGAGGGGTGGTGGGGGGGGGTGGTGGGCGACGGGTAGTGGGGAGGGTGGTGGGCGAGGGTGAGTGGGGCAGGGTGTGGGAGAGGGTGTGGGAGAGGTAGTGGGAGAGGGCGTGGAGGGGTGTGGTGGGCGTGTGGGCAGAGGGGGTGGGGGTGTCGGTGTGTGGGCGCGGGTGGTGGGTGATGGCGGGTGGGGCGGGGTGGAGGGTGGTGGGAGAACCTAAATATCCCAGGGGTTCGGGCCGCAGGGACTGAGAATCCCCAGCCCCGTCAGAGTGATGGGAAGGACCCCGCTCCGGTCCCTGTGCGGCACCTGCTGACCACGATGTAGACGGAGTACTTCACCGGCAGCTCCAGCCGGGAGGTGGTCCTGAGGGTCCTGGGGGAGTTGTTCTCACTGGAGGAAGAGGAGCAGCATTGGCGGGTGCTCCTGACGAGGAGGTGGGGCGCGAGGGGGCGCGGACCTGTGCCTGGCCCTGCTCACCTGCTCACATTGGCCGTTAGAAGCAGCCGGTCTCCCAGCATGGCCTTGGGGGAGACGTCAAAGGTGGCCACGAAGGTGACCTGAGGGAGAGGCAGGCGTGGGGTTGGAGGCGGAGGTCACGGAGGCTGAGGCTGGGTGGGGGCAGGGGAGTGGGAGACAGACCTGAGCTCCCTCGCGGAAGATGATGTGTTTGAGGCTGCAGCGGGTGCTCCAGGCGTCCTGGCTCCCGCTGTCGCAGGCCAGTTGCAGGGAGCGTGACGGCGGCCGGCTCTAAGCAAGGGCAGGGGCAAGGGCAGGGGCAAGGGCAGGGGGGCGCTCGTTAGAGCATGTCCCAAAGAGACTCCATGACGGAGTGACAGTTTTCTGGAATCTACCCTAAGATGATGTTTTGTTTTTAAAATATCCTTAGACACTATCTGGTCAAATTTCTTCCTAATGTAGAAATCGCAGATTTATTAAAGTTCTCCCCCTTTTTATTTATTGTTATTTTAAAAAGGCTTTCTGTTATTGAAATTTTCAAACATACTCCAAAGTAGAGCAACTAGATAAATCAAGCCCCATATACCCATCCCTCAGCTTCAATTGCCAACATTTTTTCTACTTTTGTTTTATTCAGCTGCCTCTCCACCTTTTTTCGGAGTAATTGAAAGCACATTTTGAATATCACATTGTTTCATCCAGAAATACTTCAATATATACCACCAACCGCAAGACTGAACAACTCACGCCCAGCAAAATAAGCAACAACTCCGTAACGTCGGCCAGTAGGCAGGGCACGCGCAGACTTCCTGGGTTGCCTCCAAAGATGCTACTTTACAGCTCGTTTTAAAAACAAATACCCAACAAAGGTCCGCATGCTGCATTTGGTTGGTGTGTCCAGAAGGACTTCCAGTGATGGGCACTCACCCCTGGGCAGCCGGATCTTGCCATTTCTAGTGCGTTCCTTTGAATGTTAACCAAACTATGACCCCATTGGGAATACTAGCCTAAGAGAGACATAAGAGACCAACCAGCCAAACGTAATGTATAGACCTAGTTTAGATGCTGGTTCGAACAAATCATGTATAAGAAGATATTTTTGAGCCAATTAAGGGAATTTTATTATGAATCGTTTGTTTCACTGGATGCGATAATGGTATTGGGTCATGTGGGCTGTGGGGACAGAGCAGAACTATAGGGGGGAAGAGAGAGGAGTGACATGATGTCTGGGATTTATCTTAAAATATTTCAGCAAGTGGAGAGGGGAGCCAGCTGAAATAAATATTGCAAAATGTTGGTATTTATTGAATCTGGGTGATATGTTTTTGAGAGCTTTGTTGATCTACTCCCTACTTTTATAAATGTTTAGCATTTTTCGTAAAATTTTTGTTGAAAATCTGTTTCACTTTGGCCCTAGCTCCGTCTTCCAGAGCAGGTCTTGCCAAACGATAGCCCAGCACCACTTTTCACAGAGGAAGTTTTATTGGCGCTCATTCGCGTACGTCTCGCCAATGGCTGCTTTCACTCCACACCAGCAGAGCTCAGCGGATGTGACAGGCGCTCTATGGCCCACAAAGCTGACATACTTATTTTCCAGCTCTTCAGAGAAAACGCAGGCCAAGACCTGATCTAGAGCAACCAATAAAGTTAACCCCTGCTTCTATAAGACAGTGTTTAAAATATTTGAAGGTTGAGGTAGGTTTTCCTCTAAAAGAAGAATATTGACATGCTGTGGAATACAAAAACGTTTAGGGCAGCGTGCCCTCTCTCTCCACATCAGCAGCCTGCTGGGCACTCATTCCTAATAGTCGGTGTCCTTAAAACGCGATGCCCGGAGTTGAGCACAGCATGAGCAAGCCCCCGATGGCACAACCGTGTCTCTCCGACCAGCACCAGCCCGGATCCCTGGGTTTCTGAGAGGCTCTGAGCAACGGCAGCCCCAGCCTGAGCTTTGAACAGGAGTCTCTGCTGATCCCCAGCCATTGGCTGCTTCCCCAGAAGGAATAATACCTGGCTCACTGTCGCCCGCCGGTAGGACAGCCCTGGCGGGTAGGAGAAGGTGACTGTGGTCCCATAGGAGTCCTCGCCCTCATTCCACACTTTCACTCCCATGTTCAGCTCCAGGGTGTTCCCCACCACCAGGGTCTCCAAGCTGGGGGTGGGGGTGGAGGGCAGGAGATGAGCCTATGACCAAGGCTAGAAATGGTCTGGGGACGAAACCCAGAGTGGAGATGTGGGGTCCCCGGGGCCTGGGATGTCTGGTTTCTGAGCACAGGATGGAGATGGTAGGGAGAGCTAGACGGCAGCTCTAGGTCCCAGGAGAGGGGCTGGGAGACCAGGGCAGGTCTCAGGAGGTGGAAGCTCACCCAGAGGCGTCAATGGTGATGCCAAGGTCGTCCTGGCAGACATGGTCGTCCCCACAGTTCTTCTCAAAGGGGAGCTGAGAGGGAAGGCGACGTGGGGGTTTCTCCAAGGCCTGTAGCCCACACCCCACTGCCCCCCAAAGATCCCAACCCGAGGACTCACAGAGGCCGTGAAGTGTCTGCGGGTGTCTGGAGCCAGAATAGGCTGGAGGTTCCCAAAGGAAGGGATGGGCTGGCCCACCAGGGAGAAATTGAGACTCAAGGTGATGGGGATCATCGCGTCCTCCACGCAAGCCTACAGGGCGGCCGTGGGGGAGAGCAGGAGGCTCAGGACAGCACCTCACCATCACTAGCTGTGCCCTGTCTCCTCATCCCTGAGATGGGGTGACAGTGAGGCCTGTCGCCTGCGCTGGTGAAACACTCATTGCTGATTCCACCTTGAGGATCCTCTGCTGGGCTTGCCCTCTGCCTTGATTCCCTCCCCCAGCCTCCCACAGGCCAGCCTGTTCAAGGCCTTGCAACCTCCCTGCTCGGAGAGGCCCGGACCCTCTGCTCTCTCCCTGGCTTCCTCACAGTGTTCATCCCTACCTGACCCTGTTATCTAGGAACCTGATTGTTTTTGCTCTTTCCCTGCGCGCCCTCTGGGCGTGGACTCTGTTGTCCAGGTGGTGTCCCTGGCACCTAGGACAGGGTCTGTCTCAGAGGAACGGCTCGATGCAAGAATCCCGGCCCACCGCTCTAGCTCTCTGACGCAGCCATGCGCTGCTCTGCAATCCAGCTGTGCGACTTCTGGCAGCTGCAGCCCACCCCTCCATTCATTCACTCACTCAGCCAGGAACCCACTCACTTATCTGGCTAACAAATGGTAAGCTCCTCCTGCATGTGAGGTGACCTGCTGGGCCGAGCTAGCGCCAGGACCAGAACACACCTGGTCCTTTCCCTGCCCGGCCGCCGCCAGCCTCAGCATCGCCCCGGACCCTCACCGGGAGCAGCAGCTTCACGTCCTCGCAGTGCTGTCTCAGACCGAGGACTCTGACGCGGCTCAGATGCCGAGTGTTTGTCTCCTTGAAGATGGCTCGGGGACTCAGGTGGCCAGGGTCAAGGGTCAGGTCAAAGGTCACATCACTTTGGAGGTTACCTAGAGGGGGAAGTAGAGGGTGGGGAAGGCTGAGAGAACCAGGAACTCCCCAGGGGGCAAGGGGCCAGGCCGGAGACGGGAGTCTGGGCCAGAGAGGACTCACCCAGCCGGGTCCTGGGACTTTCATGGACACGAAGGCAGACTGTGGCATCACCCAGGTCCCGGATGGAGGCTGTGTTCTCCCGACACTCGAACACAGACCTAGCAATCTCTGTGGGTGTTGTGTGGATCTCCACCCACACCCTGAGCACAGGTCTGGTCCTGTGGGCAGAATGCCAGCCTTTGGTCCCGGGAGGGCCACCTGGGGTGGGTGAGGGGACGGGTGTCCTGGGTACACCTAGGGACCATCTGGGGAGTGACTGGGGAAGGCTGCTCTCACCTGAGCAGCAGTGCGTGCCCCTGGGCCCCCACGGCCAGGTCCACAAGGCTGTCCAGGGTGAGGTCCTGGCCTCCGCTCAGCGACTGTCCAAAGTGCTGGAGCCCAGGGGAGAGCTGGGAGCCTGTGATCCTCTGGTGAGAGGGACGGGCAAGCCAGTTTGGGGTGAGAAAAACGAGTTGGAATGAGCAACAGGAGAAAGGGGGAGGTAGGCAGGTGAGAAACAGAAGGGGTGAGGCGTGAAAAGATGTCACCATGAAGGGCCTACAAAGCCACGATGACCAGAGCAAAAGAAAGGAGCTTCGGGGCCACAGCGGGCCGCTGGGTTCTCAGCCAAGCCCCTCTCCCCCTTCTTAAAGTTCCAAGCTCTTTGAAACCCCTTCTGTTGCTAAGCTGTCCCCACAGTAATTGATGATAACGTAGCACCGACTGCGTGCCAGGCACATATGCATATGTCCGCCATAGACGTGCTACGTGCCGCCCATGTACTAACTCATGTAACCCTCACGGCAGCGGCCTGGGCGGGCTGGCTTCTTGTCACCACCGTGGACAGCTGAGGAGCTCAGCACAGACAGGTGAGCCGTGACCACGACCACATCCCTGAGACACAATTCACACACCGTGCAAGTCACCCTTTTAAAGTACACAACCCCATGTTCTTAGGGTGTTCACAGAGTTGTGTGACCACCAACACATCAACTTTAGAACATTTTCATCACCCCCGAAAGAAGCCATATGCCTGAGCAGTCACCCCTAAGTCCCTCATTTCCCTCCCCAGCCCCTGACAACAACCTACGTTCTGTCTCTGTGGACGCCCCACCCCCCACCCCTCCCCACCCCGCCGCGTTCTGGAGCTAATATAAATGGAACCAGACTCTAGGCGGGCTTTGTGTGGGCTTCTTTCACTCAGCATAATGTTTTCAAGGTCATTCATACTGTAGATGTGTCAGTTCCCTCGCTCCTGCATACGGCTGAATACTATTCCACTGCCCGGCCACACCCATTTGTCTATCTGCTCATTCGTCGATGGGCATGTGGGCTGTCCCCGCCTTTGGGTTATTGTGAATCATGCTATATGAGCATTTGTTGTAACTTTTTGTGTAAACGTGTTTTCAGTTCTCTCGGGCAGAGTTGCTGGGTCATACAATGCCTTCTGCTGCACCTTTCAGGACCTGCCAGGCTGCACCGGGTCCCATCCCCCGCGGTATACGAGCCTCCGCATCCGGCCCACACTTGTTTCCCATCTCCCTATTCTCGCCCCCCCCCCCCCCCCCCCCAGCCCCCGTGGGTGTGAACTGGTGTCTCACTGTGGTTTGAATTTGCTGATGACTGATGATGAATGATGTTCAATACCTTTTCATGTGCCTGCTGGTCCTCCATAGATGATCTTTGGAGAAGTGTCTCCTGACCCTTTGGCCTGTTTTTATTGGGGCTTCCTTGACTTTGCCAGGGAAGCAGCCCCCTTTCTGAGGGAGCCCTGACCCCCTGGGCAGGGGCCTCCTGTCTGGATGGGCATCGGGCAGGATTACTGATGGCAGCAGGGAAAGAAGTCGTGTGGCCTCCAGGGAGATGAAGGGGTGCGTGGACAGGCAGGCTGAGCAGCCAGGCCCAAAGTGACCGGCAGCGGGGCCCCAAGGGACCGGGCAGTGGTGAGAAGCAGGAGACCGGAACGGCCCTCATCACCATTCCCGATCCACTACCCACCGGGACCAGCCAACTCACTGACTCCTCCAGACCCCAGGCCTCATCTCTAACACGGCTGGCTGGCGGGGCCTGGGCCGCTCCTGAAGCCGCCGGGGGATTAAAAGTCCTGGGCGGAGAACCCACCCAAGTCTCAAGTCTCCATCGGACCTTTCCATTTTTCACGCCCCACAGATTTTGTTCCCTGCCTAGAGACGCCCGCGGTGGGCAGAGGAGGGCAGAGGTGGTGACAGACTTTTCCAGGTGGCAGCGTGGAAGACAGGGAGGAGCAAGGAGAAGGCGGTCGGAGTGACAGGATCTGTAACGGGCCTCACCTGGCTGTGGGAGGGGCTGATGCCCGGCCCCGAGGCTCCGTGGAACAGGTACACAGCACCCTGGTTGTCCTCCTCCCCCGGGGCCCCGATGGCCACGTCCGTCAGCTTGTCCCCATTCACGTCCCCCATGGTGGTCAGGGCTGCCCCAAAGCGGCCCCAGGGGTGGCCCTGCTCCCCACGGAGAATGGCCCAGCACTGCCACCTGGCCTTTTGCAGAGCAGAAACAGTGCCAGTCCCAACCCGGGCAACCCCTCCACCCCACACCCAGGCCCCACCCAGCCAGGCCTCCTCAGCCACTCACCCCCCGGGGAAAGGGGCACACGGACACCTGGCCCCCCCGGGTCGGCTCGTAGTAATGGGGAGCCCCGATGAGGACCAGGTCGGAGCTGCCATCTCTGTCCACGTCCACGGAGCAGAGGGAGGCCCCGAAGTAGGAGCCAATCTGGAGGGCAGAGCCTCACGTCACCCTGCCTCCCTGGCGCAGGGCACCCTCTGGGCCAGGTCCCGCCTCTCCCTGGCACCAGGACCTCCCCCCACGAGGCCCGAACCCCTTCGTCTGCTCCCTCCTCCCTGGAGAGCCCGCCACCCTCCGGTCCTCCACACCCAACCTGGGTCCCTGTGACTTCAGCCTTCGGCCTCCACTGCCCGGCCGCCTGGGTGAAGATGACGGCCTTCCCGGTGTGCTGATGGCGGGGGGCCCCCAGGACCAGGCTCTGCACCCCCTTCCAAAGGGCCAGCTCGGTGGAGTAACCTGAGGGGGCTGGGCCTCAGCTCAAAGGCCACCCGCTGCCCCCCACCCCCCCATGCAACCTCCCCATCCCCTCCCCCTACACCCTGCCCGCCCCCCCGTCCCCATCACCTCCCCCCACCCGCTGCCCCCCACCCGGTCCCCATCCCCTCCCCTCCGCCCCCAGGCAGCTCATCTCCCGCCTGTCCCGCCTGTCCCTGTCCGCACAGGCAGAGCCTGTTCTCACCCAGGTAGGAGTCCACCATGTCCACATTCTCCTGAGACATGTTGATGAAGGTGGGAGGTTTCTTATTTGGGGGGTACAGGAAGGCACCTCCAGACCAGCTGTAGCTCCCCACAGCGCCCAGAACTGGTCCGTCCTGGGAAGGAAGGTCTGGGGCTGAGCCAGGGAGCAGGAGAGACAGCAACTCCAAGGTGCCCAACCTTGACACCCGCCCTCACCTACCTCCTCCCTGCTCCCCTTCATCCCACACGCTCCCTCATCCCACACGCTCCCTTCATCCCACACGCTCCCTCATCCCACACGCTCCCTCATCCCACACGCTCCCTCATCCCACACGCTCCCCTCAACCCACACGCTCCCTCATCCCACACGCTCACTGTCATCCCACACGCTCCCCCTCATCCCACACGCTCCCTCATCCCACACGCTCACTGTCATCCCACACGCTCCCCCTCATCCCACACGCTCCCTATCCCACACGCTCACTGTCATCCCACACGCTCCCCCTCATCCCACACGCTCACTGTCATCCCACACACTCCCCCTCATCCCACACGCTCCCTCATCCCACACGCTCACTGTCATCCCACACGCTCCCCCTCATCCCACACGCTCACTGTCATCCCACACGCTCCCTCATCCCACACGCTCCCTCATCCCACACGCTCCCTCATCCCACACGCTCACTGTCATCCCACACGCTCCCCTCATCCCACACGCTCCCTCATCCCACACACTCCCCCTCATCCCACACGCTCCCTCATCCCACACGCTCACTGTCATCCCACACGCTCCCCCTCATCCCACACGCTCACTGTCATCCCACACGCTCCCTCATCCCACACGCTCCCTATCCCACACGCTCCCTCCAACGCTCCCCCTCATCCCACACGCTCACTGTCATCCCACACGCTCCCTCATCCCACACGCTCCCCCTCATCCCACACGCTCACTGTCATCCCACACGCTCCCTCATCCCACACGCTCCCCCTCATCCCACACGCTCACTGTCATCCCACACGCTCCCTCATCCCACACGGTCCCCCTCATCCCACACGCTCCCTCATCCCACACGCTCCCTCATCCCACACGCTCCCTCATCCCACACGCTCCCTCATCCCACACGCTCCCTCATCCCACATGCTCCCCTTCATCCCACAAGCTCCCTCATCCCACACCGGTGCCGGGAGGGCCCACTCACGGGCGTGAGCACCGCGCTGAAGCCCTCCTGGGACATCTCCAACTCAAAGGAGCTGCTGCTCATGGTGTGGGTACCTGGGGGAGGCATGGCACTCGGGTTTGGGGCAGGGGGAGGGGGGACAGGCTTTGCCAGGACACCTCAGCTTTTTTTTTTTTAATCCTTACCCGAGGGTATTTTTCCATTGATTTTCAGAGAGGAAGAGAGAGGGAGAGACAGAGAGAAACACTGATGTGAGAGAAACACGTTGATTGGTTGCCTCTTGCACACGCCCCAACCACGGCCCGGGCAAGGGAGGAGCCTGCACCCCAGGACCCTTTGGTCCTCAGGCCGATGCTCTATCCACAGAGCCACACCGGCCAGGGCAGGACACCCCAGCTTAACAGGGCCTGATGGTGGAGACTATGTCCAGAGGGCAGGGTTGGTGCCCTGACCTGGAGGCAGGGCCCAGAGGAAAGGCACCCGAGAATGAGGTGTCTAGAGCGAGTTCCAGCTCTGACTTACCCTCAATGGCAAAGATCTTCTCTTTCAGCTGCCTTTGAATGTCTCTCAGAGCATCAAAGTTGTCCACTCTGAATATGTGCTCCTGCGGGGGCCTGGACGCGATGGCGGTCAGCTCTGCGAAGGCGCGTCGGTCCTGAAAAGCCGACCCCACCTGTCCCCACAGGAAACCGACTCAGTGAACAGATGACAAGCCCACGGCGCCTGCCACGCTCTGGCGCCGTGTCCTCCAGTGATCGGGGCCAGTGTCACCCCTCCCTCCCTGCCCCGCCGTCCCCCCCCCCCCCCCCCGATCCGGGAGAGAAACCGAGGCTCAGAAAGCGTCACGGAGGTTGGCAGAGGGCCAGGTCCCCAGGCTAGCACAGCCTCCTCCCGGGGGCAGTGGAAGCCGAGAGCTGGGATTCTGTCCCTGGAAGGGAAGTCCCCAAAGAGGAAGCAGCGGGCAGCGTCCACATCCTACCCCGACCGCATAGCGGACAATGCCCTTGGCCTCGGCCCGAGGGATGACATCCTCATATTCCAGGTTGTCGCCTGTTTTATCCCCGTCCGTGATGACGATGAGGATCTTGGAGGCGTCCTGTCTGGCCCCCTTGTGGGCACTGAACAGCTCTTCTCTGCAGGAAAGAGGAGGGTCCAGAGGCGCCAACGAGGAGGTGACTTCCTCTGGAGGCCTGATGCGTGCGGCCCAGAGCCACCCCCGCCCCCCCTTGGTGAGGAGACCAGGCAGAATCTCAGTTCCATCGGCCCCTTTGTCTCGGAGCCGGAGCCGGAGGAGGCCCAGGGGAAGGGCAGCCGCCTGGAGGACTGGAGGGTCAGGACTCACGTGACCCTCAGGATAGCTGTGGCCGTGTGCGTGTACTGGTTCAGCTGCCTCACAGAGTCCAGCAGCCGTAGTGGGTTTGAGCTCTGCGAGAATTCCTTGAACGTGAAGTGAACCCGGAAGGTGCTGGAGAACTGCATCAGGGAGAACTGGGAGAAGAGCAGGGGCTGGCACCTCCCTCCCCAGAGCGCCAGCGCCCTCCCCCGGAGCCCCAATGCCCTCCTGCAGGCCTGCCCAGCGCCTGCCCTGCCCCACGGGCACACCTGGGCCCTGGGTCTCTGGAACTGGCTCATCACAGCCTTCACGAATTTCAGCATCTTGGCAAAATCCCTGGAGCTGATGCTGCCTGAGCCGTCGATCAGGAACACGATGTCCTGCTCCTGCCTCGGGCACTCTGAGGAAGGAGGTGGCACGGTCCTCTGCGGGTGCTCCCAGAGCCCAGACCCTCCTGGTAACAAGAACTTCCCCCCAGGGGCCTCCCTGCTCCCTGCCCGGAACAGGGCCCGGCGGTCTCCTGGAGTCTCTAAGAGGCTGCACCTAGGATTCGGCTGCTCACACCTGCGCAGCCAGCCTGATTGGTAAAAACATGGAAGGTCCTGCAATGCAGATGGTGAGAAGCTGCTCCCCTCTTCTACCTCAGGGGGCCGACCCCCTGGCCCTCCATGCCTCTCCCCACCGCATCTCCACTGCTCCAGGCCTGGCCAGGCTCTCTCCTCACTGTTCGGAGCTGAACTGTATTTTTGTTAATTTTTTAACTTGTTGCTGTTGTTAATCCTCACCCAATGATATTTTTCCATTGATTTTTAGAGAGTAGAGGAAGGAGGGAGGGAGGGAGGGAGGGAAGGAGGTAGAGAGAGAAAAAGACACAGAGAGAGAGAGAGAGACATCAGTGTCAGAGAGACACATTGATTGGGTGCCTCCCGCACATGCCCTGACCAGGGCTGGGGATCAAACCTGCAACCCAGGTATGTGCCCTTGACCGGGAATCGAACCCAAGACCCTTTGGTGCATGGGCTGATGATCTAACCACTGAGCACACCAGGCCAGGGCTGTTAAATACTTCTAATGCCACCCCTGGCAACAGCCACACACTGGCCCTATTCTGTTCTCCGCTTAAATGCAGGACCCCACTTCCCTCCTGGGTGAACATGGGTCTGCCCTCAGGAGAGGAGGCTGCCCAGCTCTCAGCTCCCCTTTCTGCCGCAGCGGCCTCCCACCCGAGAGAGTGGCGTCCTGGGTGTTCCCTGGGGAGCCCAGTGCCTGTGGGTCAAGTTAGAGCCTAGAGGTGCTGCAAGGGGCACTGCATTCAGTGGCCCATGCCGGCCTCCCCAAGGGCCTGAGTGTGAGAGTGAAACCAGGGCGGGGCCTTGGGCTGCTGTGGGCTGTGTGAAGAACTCACTGTTCCACTTCCTCATTTTCCATTCCCACCAGCACCGGGAAGCCAGACGCTGTGCCTCAACCTGTTCGCACACACACACACACACACACACACACACACACACACAGAGACACACACATCGTACACACTCACACACACACACACAAATCATACACACACAAAGATATAAAGACACACATACACACATCATACACTCACACAAAAATACATGCACATCACACACACAAATACACAGACATAATACACATCATACACACATCATACATGCACAAATACACACAAATCACACAAATACACAGACATCATACACTATACACATCATACACACACTTGCACACAAATCATACACACACATACACACATCATACACTCACACACAAATGCACACATACACACATCATACTCATACACACACCATACACTCACACACAAATAGACACATCCACCATATACACACATCATACACTCACACACAAATCATAGACACACAAATACACATGCATGCATCATACACTCACATGCAAATGCACAGACACCATACAAATACACACACATCATACACACACAAATGCACACATACACACGTCATATCCTTGCACACAAATAGACACATACATACATCATACACATACACACATACACACACAAATACACACATATACTATACAGGTACACACATCATACACACGAACAGACACATCATGCACGGACACATTCAGACTGCCTGCCCTCATCACCCTTTCTTGGCTGCACAAACCAGTCGGTCATATCTATCCCAGCTACACTGGGTGAAAATAAACCCCCTTCTCTCTAAAAACAATAGCAGTTGGCAATCGCTGAGCCCTCACCGCATGCCAGGCGCTGTGCTAAGCCCTGGCCGTGGACGTCTGGTGTTGCTCTGTACCGGGTGTTACTATGCCCATCCGACAGATGGAGCAGGGGGCTTGGAGAGGGCGAGGGCACAGGGGAGGCCGCAGTGGCCGTCACAGGGCAGGCTGTGAAGGCGGCAGTGATTCCCGCCGTGTTTGACCCACTACACAACCCAGTAAACCTCTTTCCAGATCCCTCTCTTCTTTTTAATGGTTTTATTGATTTCAGAGAGAGGACGGGAGAGGGAGAGAGAGAGAGAAACATCAATGATGAGAGCGAATCATTGATCGGCTGCCTCGTGCACGCCCCCTGCTGCGGATCGAGCCCACAACCCGGGCCTGTGCCCTGATCAGGAATCGAACTGTGACCTGGTTCCTGGGTCAACGCCCAACCACTGAGCCACACCAGCCAGGCCAGTTCCCTCTTTTCGACCTGCGTTGGTAGAGTGTCTCTGGCCCCACTACGCCTCCAAGTGAGATGTGTGTGGGCTCCTCGAAACACCCAGGGCCCAGACACTCACCCTTCAGGGCATCTGGGAGCCTCTGGGTCGGCCAGGAAGAGGAGGCCCACAGGAAGCAGACCCCGGCCAAGTGCATGTTCTCGTTGCATGCATGGTGCACAGTGGGGCCGCAGGCCTGGGAACAGAGGGTGGTGGGCGGGGCAGCTCCTGCCTCTGTCCCATCCCAGCACCCCACCCTCCACAAGAGCCCCGCTCCTGCAGTCCCAGGTCCCCACCCCTCCTCAGGATGCTCCGGTGACCCAGGGCAACTCACCAGCAGCCGAGGGGGTGTGGTGGCAGCTGTCAGGGATAGGCCCAGGGACATGTTCACAGCCTCTGGGGGCGCTGAGGGGACAGGTAGGTGATGGTCACCCTCAGGACAGAGGAGCTCTGCACAGTCTGGGCAGAGGTCGCCTCATCCCTGGGAGACAAGGACGCCTGACACATGAAGGGGGCTCCCAGCTCTTGATGGAACTCTGAGGGTACAGGAGGGCCACGGGTAGGGAGGCCGGGAAGCATGTCTGACGGTGAGGGTTTTCAGACAGAGCTGAAGCTGGAACGTGGGCCCCCTGTGCTCCGCACAGACGCCCTGGAGCATGGGCACCTGCACCTGGGTCCCAGGGAGGGGCCGGGACTCACTCTGCAGCTGGATGGGCTCACAGGTGGCCGTGCTGTAGTCACACCGGTAGAGGCCACCGGTTTGGTTGACAGCCTTTATCTCCAGGGGGGCTCCCACCACCACCCTGGGGGGGAGACAAAGAACACTGCAGTTAAGAGTGTGAACACAGCAGACAGAGAAAGACAAATACCATGCGATTTCACTTACTGGTAGATGTAGAATCTAAAGAACAAAATACACACAAACAAAACAGACTCAGATACAGTGAACACACTGAGGGTTGCCGGGTGGGAGGGGCGAGGGGACTGGGGGAAAGAGGGGAGGGGAAGGAGAAGTCACAGGATAGTCGTGGGGATGGGAAGCACAGCATAGGGACTGCGGGCAACGTTTGTGTGGTAAGTACGTCCCGTGCCCGGTGGGTACTAGGATGATCAGGGGGGTCACTTCACAGATTATACAATTGTCTAAGCACTATGATGGACACGCGAAACTTAAAGAAAATAAAAGTAGTGTGGGCACTAACGCCAGACTGCCACTCCAGCAAGTGTGCTTCAGCTCTCTGTGCCTCAGTTTCCTCATCTGTCAAGAGGAGATTAATAACAATTTAAGTTCTGCCTGGGAGGGGTTTCTGTCTGTTTTATTCTCTGGTGTATGACTGGCTCCTGAGGCGCACAGCAGGTGCTCAATAATTGTTGAATTGGGGACTAAATCCATACCCACGTAAAGGGTGGGTGGCCCAGTGTCTGGCGCCGAGTAAGTGCTCAATAAATGTTAGCGAGCTCTGATCATCGAGGTGGCCAGACAGCACCGCTTTCAGTCCAGTTCTTCACGGCCTTGGGGGAATGGCCCACCAGAGAGACGGGAGAGCTTGTGACCTAAGGGCGTGGTGGAGAGGAGCAGAACGCTGTGCGGGAGAGGAGCTGATGAGGTGACCGAGGCCAGTCATCTCCACCCCCCGCCCCCCCCCCCCGCCGGTCCTCACCAGTTGGCGTACTGGACCACACTGTGTCCAAACCCGGCGCTGTGCATGGGGAAGATGGTTGGCTTGTCGATGTCCAAGTTGAAGCAGAGAGAGGAAGCCACGCCTGGGGAGGAGGGGGCAGAGAGAAGCTTTGAAGAAGGTTCCTCCTCTGCTTCATCTCCCCGGGCCTGACCGCCCCTCTCCTCGCTAGGCCCAGCGCCCCAGTGTCTCCTGGTCTTCTGGCCGCCCACCCGGGCGTGGGCCGCCCCCGCCTCGCTGCTCTCAGACAGTCTCAGACGGCCCAGAGACAGCGCCTCACCCAGTGGCCGGCTGGCAAGTTTCAACTCTCAGTTTCTGCCAAGCTACACCCCCGCTCTAAAGGTGCGCCTTCCCCACCCCCACCCTGGGGGCTCCTAAGAGGGGGGATCCAGGGAAAGTTGGGGCCAAAGGGGCACTGTGGACAGAGCACACAGTGAGCTGGTCCTGCCTACCTGAGGGATCTCTGGATTTTCCGGGCAACCGGCCTCTCTCCCGGCTCCTCTTACACCCCCCCAGATGGGTCCTTCCGTCTCCTCTCTCCACAAACTCCAGATCTCAACCCCTAGATCCCTCTCCTGATGTCTGAGTCCAGGGCACATGCATTCTCAGATCTCCCTCCCTGGACCCCATCCTCCTCGCCCCCTTCATTCCCAGCTTACCCATCAACAGGAGAAGGGCTGTCCTGGTCCTGCTCATGACGGGGAGCTCAGACGTGGGCTCCCGAGCTCCTGAGCCACTGGGGAACCGCTGGAGCAAGTGAGCAGAGGTGGTCAAGAGGCCGGAGCTAGAGAGGGAAGTTGTCAGAATGACTCAGACGTGGAGGGCGGAGAGTGTGACAAAAGCAGGCACAGGGGCCCCCCGCAGCCGACACACTCCATCCAGGAGTCGTTCTGAGCGGAGATGGCGTGACCTGCCCCCTCTTGCCTCGCCACCCATCTAGGCTTGTGTGGATGCCAATCCCCTGCCCACCTCTCCCAATTCCCCTGGTTCCAGCTGAAGGTTCCCCCTGACCTCGAAACTTCAGTTCACCTGGGGAGGGGGAAGGGGCAGGTGTCAGGGTGGGGTTAGGGCCCTAATGGAGATTCTGGGGGACCCCTCCGCTTCTGGCCTGGAAACCTCTGGGCCAAGGAGTGAATACTCCTTGTTTGTTCGTCATTTACTCAGCAAGCCCAAGTGGAGGCTGAGGATACGTGCCCTCTGTTAGCAGAGTGAGGAAACCCAAACCACAAGGCCCCGGCCCTGGGGTCAGTGGACAAGGCAACGTGTAAACAGCAAGGCTTTGCTCTGAGGGGAAACCCGGTAACCACAGATACCTTCCCCGGGCTGGCAGGGGCAGGTCAGGGAAGGCTTCCTGGAGGTGGTCGCATTTGAGCTAAGTATTGAAGGCGAGTGTGTGACTACAGGGGAGCGTGTTTAGGAAGGGGTGGCCAAATGTGGAAGAGGCGTGAGACAGAGGGGGCTTGGGGAAATGGGTGGTGGAAGCCAGAGAGGAGGTGGCGGGAAGTAACAAGGGATGAAGTCAGTGCTGTGGGGGAGGAGAGAAGGGGAAGCAGGCCCAGCCCAGAAAGCCCCCTCAGGCATGTGATTTTATCTGGGCGGAGGGAAGCATTGATCTGCACTTTTCTATTTTAGGACGCGGGAAAGGGGCCGATGAGGCTGGAGACAGGTCAGTCAGGAGGGAGATGAAGGGGGCCTGTGGAAGGAGCTAGTGGCCATGAGGATGGGCTGGAGGGTGACTGGTCAGACGGGAGGACCGTGGTGCTGGTCCCAGGACGAGGGGAGGGGCCGTGGGCCAGGCCAACTTTGGTTTTGAGGAAACCAAAACGCAGTGGTTAGGAGCTTGGCTTCTTTCAACCTCTCTTTGCTTCAGTTTCCTCCTCTGCAAAATCGGGGTGAGAATAAAAGTATGCACCGGCGATTGCTGCTGGGGGCTGGCGTTCCTGTGTGAGAGCTTTGCCGCCGGCCGTTATCCTGGCTACGCTGTGGTGATGGCTGGGTTAGGTAAGAGGGGCCTGAAGGGCTCCGGGAGGCAGCTGGGCGTGTGGGGCCAATCTCAGCAGGAGCGTCTGGGCTGGATGAGTGCGGGAGCCACCCGCAGAGGCGCTGGGTGAGATCCGGTGGGAGTGCGAAGGGGGGAAGAAGGCTGTGCCAGGGGTGGGTGAGTCCGGGGAAATGCCGATGTTGGCAGCAGGGTGGGCGCCTGCGGAGGCCGAGAAGGAGGGAGTCCGTGAAGGAGAGCAGCCGGGAGCCGGAAGGGCACCTGGCAGGGCGGCCCAGGGAGGATGCGAGCAGTGTCACCGGCGGCCGGGCATCAGCGAGGTGAGAAATGAGGACGGCCCGGATCTGGCCACAGAGGCGGTGGGTGGCCTGCCATGCAGCGCAGTGGGGGTTCAGGGGCCTGGGCATAAAGAATGTGGGTGGCGGTACCGCCCGGAGGAAAGCAGTCCTGAAGGCCTCAGACACCAGGTGGCTGGGAAAGGCCTTAGAGATGAAGACAATTTGAGAGAAAGGGGGGAGGGTAGCTGGTAAATTCTAAGAGGAAAACAATGGCAGAAAAAAACCAATAAGAGGAGGAAGAGGTGGCTGTGACTCGGAGAGGGTAAGTGATGAGAGACGAGTGACGCAGCAGCAGCCCGAGACTCAGGGCTGGCGTACGGGACCGGTGAGGACCAGGGAGGCCTCCGCCTCGAAGGAGCCTTCAGTCCTGGGCGTTCATTGCTCCCTGTCCTCAGGCTTGGGATCCACACTCGTGGACAAGACAAGAATAGTGGAGGATAGTGCTTCATCCCCATGATGCTTCGGAGAAAAACCAAGGTAATACACCTCTCCTTTGGCAAGAATAACTTAGACCATCAAAGTGTGGAATGGGGTGTATCCTTAATTCAACCCGCCCATTTTACAGATGAGGACACTGAGGCTCCAGCCAGGATCTTGAGTGTCTAAACCTCATTGCCCCATTTCAGTGCATCATGACGGACATTTCCAGAGAAAGGATGGCAGCTGAGGGGGGATGATATAAGCGAGGAAGGAGCAGAACCCAAGTTACCCATCTCCTCAGCCGAGCGGGATCAGGCACACCCAGCTCTGTCCAGGCTGAGCCCGTGGCAAGAGGTCAGAGGCCGAGAGAAGGTCCGGGCGAGTTTGGAGAGCAGCCAGCCTTCCCCTCTGCTGGCATTCCTCTGCCCATTCCAGCAGGTGGGGGCGTCGGGGGGGGGGGGATGCACCTGATCTGCCACATATTGGAGGTGGAGGTGGAGGCGGGTGGTGGTGGTGAAGAAACTAGGGCAGAAGCTGGTTTAATTCAGGTCTGACGTGCCAGAGCGAAGTGGAACTGAAGAATTTGGAGTCTGTCTCCTGGGGCGTTTCTTTTCCATGGAAGAAGAAAACAGAAATCTGTATGCAGCAACCCTGGGATTTCTTAGTCCATTTCCACCCACACCCACCCCCGGGGCCTGAGCCCTCCTCTTACTGCATGCAATCTGTCTCACTTCTCTGTCTCCAGCGGACACTGAGGTTGAGTCATGTGCCTCAGGTTGCCCAGCTAGGGCAGGTTCCAAGGCAGGGAAGCGTTGACTGCTAATGACCCTACTCCTTCCTCTGCCCACAGCTGCTGCGCTGCTGCAGTTGTTAAAAGCTGAGGGCGAGGGAGGGAGTCAGCATCAGCCTTCCTCAGTGACAGATAGAGGGTGACATCCTCTCACCGCAGTTCATACTCATTTGTCCTTGTCTCTCCGAGGATGGCCGTTAAACCTGGAGCAGACACAACTAGGTCCTACATGTCTGCTGGGCGTGCGGATGGATGTGCGATGGGAGCGTAGAAAGGATTGTGTGTGAACAAGTGGATGGCTGCGTGGGCTGTGGGTGGGTGGAAGGATGGGTAGGGCAGTGGATGGGTGAGTGAGAAGGTAGATGGATGGGTGGAAGGGGAGCTGCACAGATTTGAAGTGAGTGGACCAAGCGGTCAGCTCAGACGCCCTGAGGCATGCTGAGTCATTGCACAAATCACAGATCAGGAAGTTTTAAAATAAGTCAAGTGGAGGACGTCAGGGAGCCAGCCAATGTGGACGTGGTGGATGTGGGTGGCGAGTGAGGCGAGAGGAAGGGGCCCAGCGGGCTCAGAGGCACATGTCAGCTAAGCCCCTGAGCCAGCTAAAGGGTGTTCTTGCTCCAGCTCCCACAGCTGGCCAGTGACGAAGCCAGAATGACAACACAGCCCTTCATATGTATGTAAATTCTATGAAAGAGAAGCAGAGGAGAGAAGGGGAAGTAGAGACAAGTCACTGGGCCTCGGGGAGAGAGAGGGAAGAGGAGAGAGAAACAAGGAGGGCAGGGTTAGGGCCGTGGGTCTGTGTGTTGGTGACAGGCCTTACCTCCTGCCGGGTGTCCCATCTGAAGGCCCCACCGCGCCTCAGCCCAGCCTGCGGTACAGCCGCAGAGCTGAGCAGGCAGACCGAGGCTGGAGCCTGCGCGCGGAGCCTGCCTGACCTTGCGCAAGGCCACGCACCCTCACTGGTCGTGGGCATCCTCTCCTGCAACACGAGAATTGCACGCGCCTCCCTGGGCAGGCGGAGGGATCCGTGAGCCCTGGCTGGGCACTGAAAGCGAGGGCAGCTGCCCCCTGCCTGAGCCGGGCAGGCCCGCAGCTGCGGCTGCAGGTGGAGGGCGCCTTGCTCCCAGGTGGCCACTTCCTGCCGACCCTGCTCTGCAAGTCGAAAGGAAAGCAATCCCAGATGGAAAAGTAGGTGCATGCGAGGGCCCCAAACATCTCGTTTTCCTTCCCGTGACTATTTTGACTATTTCTCTGGTGATGTCAAATATTGTATCATTTTCAAAAAAATGGTTCCCTCCACCTTGATAGTGCCTTAAACACACGGTAATCATGAGTCTGGTTTACCAGTGTGGCCCCAGCATAAGGGTTACCAGGGCCCTTTTCATCCCCCAAAGCTGCCCTCCCGGGCGCGCAGTGAGCTGAGGTAGGCAGCCTGGGTTTGAGCCACGTGGGAGAATCTGAAAGCTGCCACCGTGGCCTTCCTGACCAGGGGCTGCTACACTCCCCGGCAGGGCACCCCTCTCCTGCCACACAGACACCCACTTCCCCTTTCCAAGTCTGTACAAGATTGTGCTGCCGGGGCCCTTAAGAAAGTCTGTAAACGCAAAGGCGGTGCAAGATGGTGAGCAAGATGGACTTGGCTCACTCGTTCGCTAGCAGGCAGCCACCGAGTACCTACTCACTCCAGTCAAGCGTCGCAGCCAGGACAGGCACCACATCACTCCAGCGCGGTGTCAGGCGGCGTTAGGGTTATAAGGAAAACAAAATGCGGCCACGGCCAGAGTTCCTTAGGATGCAGTCGCCTTAGTCTGGCTGTCGAGACTGAGGGCAGGTGCTGGCAGTGTGTTGAAGGAGGCTGTGAGGACAAGGGGATGGGGACGCGGGACGGAGCAGGGAAGAAGGGAAGTGATACTGAGAGGGGGAGGAAGGGCTCCGGCCTCGGCCCAGGAGCAGCTCTGGAGCAGGAGCCACACACGGAATGGGTCCCACCTCACCTCGAGGCAGGGGCCGGCGGAGTACTTGCTGTGTTGGTCAGTCACTGACCACTGGCCACTCCCCCCCCGACACACACACACCCCGGGATAGAGCTGCTCCTGTTCAGCAGGGATGGTTCTCCAGAAAAGGGGGCCGTTGTGAGCCGTCAATGGCCACCACAATGCAGATGGTGTAGCGGGAGCTGGGAGGGCACAGACCGCATCTAGTGACTATCTGGTTGCATCTTAATCTCTTC